AATAAATTCATAATGTACATAATTCTGATTGAAGCTAAGGGCATACAACTGTCTAACAAGTCTATACTGGCGCCCTCTATTCGACATGCATGAGCCCCATACAGGCCAGCCGAATGCGCCTACATCACTATCATATCAAGCACATTTAGGAGCTGACCCCCTTGGAGCACCTTGTTCAACTCTCTTTGAAAGACTGGTTCATAAATAAATGAAGAGTTGTAAGATTGGATTGTTTTTTGTGCTCCAAGTATTAACAGGATCCTGATTAGGGTTGCAAGTCCAATTGTTCAACTTGAAGAATTTTAGCTACATCTGGCTGGGGTTACTGGTTAGGATTTGGTACCAATGAAAAATGACAAATTCCCAATCCAACCTGACCCAAATTTCACCCCTAGTCCTGGTGTGTTTATGTTGTGGTTATAGTGTCTTGTGCCTCTAGATTGTCTTTTCAGTTGTATCTCTCTAGAGTGTTCTTTTTCCACAAGTGCAAATCCTCAAATCAATCAACGAATTCATCAAATAGACCATATATCTAATCACTTCAGCTATTAAAATGTGAAAAATCCTGTATGTAGGGGTGGCAATTGGGCAAGTTTGGATCTATCCACCAACCTGTTAATGATCCATTAAATTCAAATTCAAATTAGATGGGTTTTCAATCCAAACCCACCTTGTCCCAACCCACTCAACCATTAATTTTGAAGAAACAGAGAGAGAGAGCTTTAGGCCTTTTGGGCTATTAATCAAAGTTCACTCTGTTCCTATCCAAATTGACATCTTGAATAAGCACAAATTACTCAAGATATCTAGGACTATTACAAGCAGAAGATGGGTATAATCTTTTTTTTTTTATCCATGGATAGCCAACAAAATAACTCTTGATTTCCACCGAAACCTTTTGCTGCTGAAAGATGTACAGCTTTATTTGCCTTATGGTTCACCCAGGACAGCTTTACAGTTTATACTTGAACCCTTGCATAGATTGGTCGCATCTTGAGCAAAGAAGCAAGCTTCTTCTTTTAAGCAATAAATGAAGCTCCCTTCGATAACAAGTCAATAGCTTGCCTGCAATCTCCTAAAATTAGCTTTGACCAACCTGCAATAGATGAAACCTCTAAAACTCTGAAAGATGGTTGCAATGGAAATCCGAGTGGCACCAGTTCGCATTTTTTGTTTTGGGTTGATAAGATTAGTTTGCCAAGGACTTGATGGAAGTCTAACAGTCTGTACTCTTACTGTGGCTAAGAAAGCGGTGTTTTTTTTTTTTATTTGCACGCACCTCTCAACTTCCACTTCTTTGGAAAATATCTTCCTCTGTCCTCGTTCGTTGTTTACATCATTGTTTTCAAAACCGGATCATATCAGAAAAACCAGGAACCGGTCAGGTCCGTTTTTCCTAAAAACTGGATTTTTCTCCAAAACCGTTGATTTTAGTCAGCAAACCGCTGAACCGGATAGTTAATCGTTCAAACAGTTTTGACCTTTTTTTTTGAATTTTTTATTTTTTGTCAGAACGGGCCAAGTGTTCGGTTCGAACGATCGGACTGTTTGATCCGATAACTGAACCCCTAATCAGTTCGATCACCAGGTCGGTTTTAAAAACTATGGTTTACATCATATTTAGAACTTCTGCACTTTGGAAAAGAAAGATGAAACAGGTAGGAATAAGATTACCGATTAGCTTCCAGATCGTATATATTCTTCATGTCGATGATGGCTAGAGGGCAAACTAGAGGCTACATCACATGATCAAAAATTAGAGTTTGGGATCACCTTCATGGCTTCATTTGCCACATTTGCCACATGTTGCCAATAAAGATTAGAATATCAATACACACTTATCCCCGTGTCTCGTAATGATCATGGGATTAGAGCAAGGTTCGAAATCTCGATATGTATCGGGCCGTATTGGCCAATATGTATCATATCGGGGGCTTTCCAATACACCCCTCCAAGGAGTGTTTTGGGGTTTTGACCGGTTCAGGGAGTGGGCAGACCTTAAACCGGCCCCTCTGAACTGGATTTGGAAAAAAAAAAAAAAAACCGGCCCCTCTATTCAATACACTTCTACCAACCTATCAAACGTATCGATATTTTGAACCTTGAGTTGGAGAAGATAATTGAGATCTATTAAATATTTCAAAAAAAAAAAAACTGTGTATTAATGTATCAAAACATATCATGACAAGGTTTATAAAAAAGAAAAACAAAACAATACATATCAGGATATATGATATGCATGGATATTTCAATCCTTGCAAAAAGCAAAGACCACCATCATTTGGTGCCATTAGAAGAGTCTTATTTACCATCTAATGTCAAGGTTTTAAAAACCAGACTGTTCATAGAACTGTTTTGGCCACCAATTCCTGGGTCTAACTGTCCAATTTGAAATTTGAATGAATGGCCATAGAACCAGTTGCTTGAATGATTCCCAGGTCAACTGGTCCTACCATCTGATCCAGTCCATCTGGTCCAGTCCGGTTTTCAAAACCATGGCTAAAAGTATAGACTTAAATAAGAGTTGTTTACCATGAAAACCGCAGAACATAGTTGTCATCATGTTTAAGCTCAGTTTGCTGAACCAAAAAGCCTATTGCTGTCTTCAAGTGAACAAATTTGATGGAGTTAATTGCGAATTCCTTGAAGGCTGTAGTTATGGAAAGTTTTGGGACACGTGCGTGACAAGTTTGACAAACAAACAAGTAAGCTGGGAAACATCAGTTTTTAGCTGTCTAATTCCATTTCACATGATCTCGGATCTCCTACCTACAAACTGTTCCCACAGAACACTACATGCATGCATTGGGAATATCTTTGTAATTCATGGGGAGATGTTCCAAGTACAAGGCGTTACGGTCTGTGGATATGGATGTAGGAACAGATTATGGATAGGAGATCCAGAGTCATTTTACACAGCCTAAGCGAGTAGAAACCATTTTATGTACCCAATTAAAGGATCTTTGCATAAGAAAAAGAAAGAAGAATTAAAGGGTTAACTGCATTAAGCACAATGAATGATAAGATTGGTTCATAACTACGTTTTGTTCTGAGTGGTAAGATTGGTTCAAAACCATCAAGCCCAATCACAAACCATTAAAGCAACAACTAATGAAAGCATTTTCTCGCACATTTACACATTCTCACATAAATTACAAAAACTAACATTCAACTGATATCAATTTGTCCAAAAAAATTAAAAAAAAAAAAAACAAAAACAAAAATATTTCCCACTTGGTGATCAGAGAATGGTACAAAAATATAAAAATAACATTTGTAGCCCAAGATAGGAAAGCTTGAATAATATTGATAGAAGATTGCCATAAGAAGTGAACCGTACAGGTGAGGGAGCTGTAAAGTAGCCAAAGAAATGCTCTTCTCGGGCTCACTTGTGTGCAAAATGGCATAAATTTTGAACTGCAAATGACAAATAACAGTTAGGAAAGTCCAACTAATACAACCATTTGCAGTCAAAACATTTATAATTTTTAATCAGTGCAAAATTATACACGAGTTGGTGATAATTTTTAATCAGTGCAAATGACAAATAACAGTTAGGAAAGTCCAACTGAACTATGCCTCATGCCTCTAGGTAGTGGAATCCTCTCGTCACACCTCCATGTTTTATTACATTTATTAGAACCATAACTTCAGTCATATAATCTCATCAGAAGTAGTTTCAGAAAAAAACAAAAAAACAAAACAAATAAACAAGTATATAATTGCATACAATCAAAAGATTAAAAACAAAACTTTTTATGATTTTTTGCCAAAGCAGCACTGACCTGGAACACTTTACCGTTCTTAACCCCTCACTTTAGTACTCTATTTCAAGAATCGTAAATAAATTACTCCTTTAAAAAAATCTCTGCACCTAATTTTATACATTTATCACTAATAACAATCAATACAAAAAAGGGAGGAAAATAAAGGTACTTACTTTGGCATGGAAACTGCTTTATACTTTTATGCTCTTAATTATTGTCCTCACTATCACTTTGTGATAATTCTTCCTCTTCCCCATACACAAATTCGTCTACATCATCATCATCATCTTCAGTTTCATCCAACTGATGATCATTTGATATTGTTTGAGCCTTGTCAATCTGTTAAATAGGAAAAAGGGTAGTATAACCAACAACCTCACACTGAAAATATTCAACTTAATAAAGAGAAAAGGTTAACCTGTGCTGATATAAGTTGCAAACGGCCAGACAACTGTAACAAAGGTTGAACAGCTTTTCCTTTGCATTCTGTCATCTGGAAAAAGGAAAACATGATCTAAGCACAACCATCACGCATGCTTATTAAATGAGAAACTGTTTTGAATATACTGCAAAGATATAATTAAAAAGAAAATGGAAGCCAAATATTAGGAAGAAATCACACCAGGGAACATATTTCTCATGATAGAGATTGGAAAGCTCCAGATAACTAGCAAGATAACAATTCCAACAGAAAAGGCAACTTAACAGCTATATTAAATTTCATGGCCAATAAAATTGTGAACCAGATAAAAGTAGGCAATGTCATTTGATAGAATGAAAGAAGACTGTAATATGAGCATTGGATCAAAATCCTATAAGAAGCTAACAGGTCCAATGGCATAGTTTCTAGTTCAGGGTTTTACTTTTACTTTTCAATACCCAAGTAGATTCTTGATTTGATTTCTAGAATTGTATAAGACCTACTCAGTAATTGGCAGGGTATAAGTAGGAGTTGGAAAGGAAAGTTGTCTGCACCCTATTGGACTTCTTATGGTTATGTAGCAGGACCATGCACAGTCTATGCAACTTTGTGTACATCATTGGCTAATAGGACTCCAACTTCCAAGGGATTAAACAGAGGTAAGTCCATTATTTCTATTACGACTGTGCAAGTCAGCCTCATATCTTCTTTAAATATTAATTATTTCCAAATCTAGTACACTTTCCATAATTTCTTTTAGAGATCCAATCTTTTTTTATCAATAACATAAACTTTTATTAAAATTAAGAGAGAACAAATACAAGAAAGTAAGGGGAGGGGTAAACTCTCTTAACCCTCAAAAACAAGTTCAGATTACAACAAAGCCCAAAATAAACTATCCCTTCTAAGTGCATCAGCAAAAGAATTAGCACAACTCTTCACCCATTGCAGCTTTATCTCCGTTTTTTATTTTTCTATCAATAACAGAAGTTTTCAGTAATGAGAAATACTCAATTACAAAGGTGTGGGGAGGAAAACTCTCTTAACTGCCCCCAAAAAGATACAACATTACAATGTAGCAAGTGCATCTACAAATGAATTGGCACATCTTTTGACCCATCGCACTCTCACCTCCATACCCTGAGTTACCCACGTAAGTGTTTTCATTCATTAATTTATGCTCGCAATCCATCACCTTCCATCCCTAACCAATTTATTACCACCTTAGAATCTCCTTCAATGATCAGCTTGCTAACACTTAGTTCCTTAGCTCTTTTCACACCTTCCATCAAAGCAATAATGCCCGCAATGAGTCCCCCGCCCCAATTGGGCCTGAGAACAATGCTATGACAGAACCTTCATTCATCCTGAAAACTCCACCAATCCCTGATGGACCAGGGTTACCTTCACTGCTTCCATCAAAGTTTAGCTTAACAAATCTGCACAAGGTGGAGACCATAGAGGCTGAGCAACACTTTTGCTTGAAGCAGATATTGTCATTTCCTTCCAGTTGTTTAGCAATGTCTCTGTATGAATGTCCTTGAATATCTCCACTATTTTTACCCAGTGCACCACCCTAGAAGTGATTCACTTCTATGATTGGCTCTCTACTTCTCTCTTTTTTGGCAAAAATTCTTTGGCTTCTTTCCATCCAAACTGTCTAACAAACCGCTGCCCTTATGCATCTCCACAATATTCTTCCCCTCTTTTTCGTCCAGCAATCAACAAAAGAGTCAAAGAGGCTTTGTAGAAGAAGCAAAGAAAGAAACCAATCCCAAATAGAAGAAGCAAATGGGCAGGAAATAAATAAGTCGTAACAAGATTCACCGTTGGCTCCACAAAGAGTACACCAGTTAGGAGACAAGCACCAAAAAGACCTCTTTCTTTGAAGTAGGTCACAAGTGTAAACTCTTTCCAAGAATATTTCCCAGCACAAAGCCCCAACCTTTGGTGGGACCAGCTTCCCCCATACTTCTTTAACAGGGAAAGAAAGCCCAGGACTGGAAGAAGGATGTGAAAGTGCTTTGAAGGAGGCACAAGTAAAGGATCCAAAAGAAGAAAGAGTCCAAATTCGAGAGTCCAACTTAGAGGGATCCAAGAGAACGTTTTGGAGAATTTGGATCAAAGCCAAGACATTGTCCATATTTGAGTCTCTGAAGCCCAATTTAGTTCAGGCCCTAGAGAAGAAGAGGATAAAAAGGTGGAAATAGGATCATTTTTGTAAGTAAAAAGAGAACACATCAAAGGAAACTGGTCTTTAAGAGGTGAATTCCCCACCCGCACATGTTCCCAAAATCTTACCAGATCCCCAGAACACAGGTTGTACCTAACATAGGGTAAAAAGTTAGGATGGCATGAATAGAGCTTTCCAAGGATGGCATCATCCCATGGATGCTTATAATCACCGCTGTCAACAGTTTGTCCTTATCCCTCAGTAATCTCCACAACCATTTCCCTAACAGCACTGCACTCCTCTTCTGGATGTTCCCAAACCCTAATCCACCAGACTCCTTATATCTCCATCTCTTGGATCAGCCACTTAAACTTCTTTTCGGTCATTGGAAAATTTCCAGCAGATCCATTCTTTATTTTCTAGACCTTTCTTTGCTTCTTCCATTTTTCTTAAAGAAAGGAAATAGTTTATCCCATCCAAGCCCCAACCGCCTTATTACTCCTTAATTCTTAGATTTAAGAATCATCAATTACAACCATCAGTCATCAGTACTTAATTCTCCAGTCATTCAACCAAATTATTGTTTGCTGACAAAAACATGCCAATGTACACAAACACATAATCCTATTTCCAAAATGTCACCTAAACCTACTATTGTTTCCTTGGAAATAAATCCCAAGTATTTATCTTTTATTATCCCTAAACCCAGAATCCAATAACCACATTTAGAAAAACAAATTTACGAGCTGGACCTTGAATGAGAGACCCAAGCTATGTCAGTGGATGAGATGGAGCCACTGCTCAAATCAGGAATCATCAAACTCTAGATCTTGAACCTAAAAGTATACTGCTGACCAGGTCCAGAGTTTTGAACAATTTTGATCATCAGTTCCAAGTGAACAGAATAAGTCAATTTGTTCAATCCAGATTTCTGGGTCAGTTTTAAAACATAGAAACCAAGGTTTTAAAAGGCTAAAGGCGTAGTTGAGGCATAATGGCCCAAAAAGGTGAGGCATAAGCCTCAAAGTTTACGAAAAAAAATAATTGAAGTTTGTAAATTTTATGAAAATAACATATAATATACTAAATTAAAATGATAGAAGGTACACATATCAATAAAAAAGAAGTTTATAAGAAATAATTTTTGGCATTTAAGCATTAAATAAAATAATAACTAATCAGCTAACAATTATAAACATTTTATATTTCTTGTAAAAAAAAATTTAGAAAGGAAAGAACTTAGTTGATTTGATCTATGTAAATAATAATGATATTATTATTATTATTAAGAAAAAAATCAATTAGGAGAAGAAATGAGAAAAATAACAAACTTGAGACATTACATTTAGAACAATAAGAAAAATCTCACTTGATTTATCCAAAAGAAACTAAGAACTTGACTAGTCCTTTTTGCATTGGACTCTCTTAAAGCACTAATAAAAACTAATAGACTTTTATTTGTCTTATTAGTTTTTCATTTTTACTTTTTTATTTGGAATATAATTATTGAAGTGTTTTTTTCTGTTTTAAATTATATATATATATATATATATATATATATTTGCATTAAATCACTAATTAATCATTGATAATTGAGGCTTACGCCTTTTTACGCCTTGAGGCTTGAGGCTTATGCCTCATTCTGACAAAGGCTTAATCCTCACATCAAAGTTGTGAGGCTTAAGACTTGAAGCCAAACCTGTGTGTCTCGCCTCAAGGCATACCGCCTCACACATCAAGGCTTAAGCCTTGTAAAACAATGATAGAAACCTACATGGAAGTTTTGGTAACTGGCATAGTTAGCAACCTTTTGCCAGAACTGAGTACTAAATTTAATTTTGTGGAAGCCAGGTTCAAGTCTGGGTTCTAAGAAGATTTGAGATTTTGTGAATTGTTTTGATCTTATTGATCTTCCTTTGCTGGGGACCCAATTTACTTGGACCAATAACCAAGAGTCCCCGGCGTTGGTCAAGTTAGATAGGTTTCTCATATCTCCGGATTGGGAGAATGCTTTTAGTCTCATAAAGCAAGTGGCCCTCCCAAGACCAGTTTCGGACCACTCTCCTATCCAGTTGGTGTGTGGTAAACAAATTCCAAAAAAAATAAAAAGACCTTTCAAGATGGAAAATATGTGGTTTGAAGAGGAGGGGTTGGTTCCTTTGTTGAGCTCTAAATGGATTGAAAACCAGCTAGAAGGCACAAGTTCATTCAAATTTGCAAAAAAATCAAAGCAGTTAAGGAAACCCTGAAGTCTTGGAGATTAGAGCTCCGTGGAGCCTTAGAATCAGAAAAAAAGGTGCCTTGAAGTGATCAAAGAGTTGGATGTGGCTGAGGAATCTGGTCCTCTAACAGGGGAAGATAGAAAGAGAATGATGGAAGCAAAGATGTCCATTGATAGGCTAGCTGTTAAAGATGAAATTAAGTGGAGGCTTTGCCAAGGTCAAATGGCTTAAGGAGGAGGACAGAAACTCCAGCTCATTCCATAAAATGGAAAATGCAAGAATTAGATTCAATCAGCTTGAGAGGTTGGAGTTTGAAGATCTAGTGGGAGAGGATGGGGCTGAGATGAAATTAATTGCCACCAAATACTTCTCAGAATTGTTCCAGGAAATTTGGGCTAGAAGACCATTTTCGATGGATCTTGGGTTTAGGAAGATTTCTGATTTTCAACAAAGAGAGTTGGAAGCCCCCTTTACTGGGGCTGAAATTTGGCATGTGATCAAGAATATGGAAGTTGATAAATCCCCAGGGCCAGATGGTCTTAGTAGTCTTTTCTATAAGAAGTGCTGAGAGGTGGTGAAAGAGGATTTAATGAAGGTATTTCAAGATTTCCATCAAAATGCAGCTCTGGAAAGAAGTCTAAACTCCACTTTCATCTCCTTAATTCCTAAAGTTGAAGGGGCAACTAACATTAAAGATTTTAGGCCCATCAGTTTGCTAAATAGTTTCTATAAAATTCTGGCAAAGGCTCTAGCAGAAAGATTGAAAACAATGCTGAGTTCTGTGATTGCAAAGAACCAACTTGCATTTGTGTCGGGTAGACAGATGTTAGACAGTGTCCTGGTGGCAAATGAACTGATAGACTCGAGGAGAAGGGAGGGTAAAACAGGGCTGATTTTGTAAGTTGGATCTTGAAAAGGCCTACGACCATGTTAACTGGAAATGCTTGGATTTAGTCTTGGAAAAGATGAATTTTGGTCAGAAATGGAGGAAATGGATCAATGTTTGTGTTTCTTCCCCCAAATTTAAAGTGCTAGTTAATGGTGAATTGGCAGACTTCTTTAAAAGTTCTAGAGGCCTCAGACAAGGGGACACCCTTTCCCTTCTTTTGTTCATTTGTATAATGGAGATATTGTCTCTATTAGTTCACCGAGTTAGTGAAGAAGGCTTGTGGAAGGGGTTGGGGTCAGCACCAGGAGGGGAAAAGGTTCAATTACTTCAGTTTGCAGATGACACATTGTGTTTTATTGATGCAGATCTAGATCAACAGGAGGTCATGCTTGGAGTGTTGAGTTGGTTTGAAGTGGTAACAGGTTTGTGGGTTAACTGGGCCAAGAGTAGAGTAATTCCAGTGGGGAAGGTTGAGAATCTTGAAATTCTAGCAGAAGCTCTTGCTTGTCAGATCAGGTATCTACCAACAGTGTATCTAGGGCTTCTTCCCTTGGGGGCTAAATGCTCTTCCTCTCTAATTTGGGAACCGGTGATGAAAAGATTAGAAAGGAAGATGGCATCCTAGAAAGCTAAATATCTCTCTTTGGGGGGTAGAATCACTTTATGAAAAGTTCTCTGTCTAACCTCCCCTCCCACTTCCTCTCTCTCTTCCCAATACCCACTAAAGTGGCGCAGAAATTAGAAAGGCTCCAAAAGGATTTCCTATGGAAGGATCGGGAGGAGGAAAAGAAAATACACCTAGTCAGTTTGAAACAGGTGTTAACTCCAAAGGAAAGAGATGGCTTGGGGGTGAGAAGTCCGAAAACTTTTAACAGAGCTTTAATGGGAAAATGGAACTATATTTGCTAGAGAATGAACTAGTTGGTGGAGATCTTTAATTGCAGCCAAGTATGAAACAGATAGAGAGGACTAGTTAACCACCTTGAACCTTCCTTCCTTGGGTTGCTCTCTTTGGAAGAAAATTATGGAAATCTAACCTCTGCTCCAAAATGGCTTATCCCTAAGTTGGGTTCAGGACTTCGTTTGAAGTTTTGGAAAGATAAGTGGTGCAATAATAGGTCCTTTGAAGAGCTGTTCCCTCAACTGTTCCAACTTGCAGAGAATCAAGATGCAATGTTGGCAGATTGTTGTGAGTTGATTGGGAATAGTCTTGCCTGGAGTCCTGCTTTCAGAAGACCTTTCCAAGATTGGGAAGTGGGCCAAGTGGTGGATCTGTTAGACTTGCTTTCTAGTCAGATTTTGAACCCCTTGGAAGAAGACTCATGGATCTGGAAGTGGAACGCAGATGGAATTTTCACTGTGAATTCTTTTGCCAGAAGATTATCTTGTGGACTCAGATTCCTCCTCTCAAAGTGAATGCTCTGCTGTGGGTGATAGTGTTGGATAAAAACCTAACTAAACAGAATTTGGCAAAAAGAGGAATTCTGATTCAGAACATGCTTTGTGAGCTGTGTGGTCAAGCAAAGGAGGACAACGATCATCTCTTCATCCATTGCCCTTTTGTCGCAGGATTATGGAATCATTTCCTCTCTTCTGAAGGTATTTCCTGGGTCATGCCAAAGCAGGTATCAGATCTGTTAAGGAGTTGGGATATGATAGGTCTTTCTAAGCTGGCTAGAAGTGTGTAGTGGGCTATCCCTGCAGCTGTGATCAGCTCTATATGGGCGGAGAGAAACAGAAGAATCTTTCAAAATAAAGGAGGTGGACTGTCTTGTGTCGTGCAGTGGGAAAATTAGTGTCTTGGACTGCAGGCGTGAAAGGCTTCCATCCTAGGGTCTTGGGGACTCAGTTAACGTCTATTAGTATGTTTGAGTTGTAATGTAAGCTGAGAGTCTGTTCTCAGCCTTTGCTCCTTTGGGGCTTCTTTGTATGGTTCTGTTTTCATTCAATAAATTTACCTTACCTTAAAAACAAAAGTCTGAGTTCTGGATAAATTAAAAGGTTCTTTTACAGTTATCCTTTGAGGAGAAAGGATAGTGACTAAAGCAACTTATAAGTTTGTTTGGGGCTTCTTCAATTAATAAATAAAGGTTTTGGATGGAAGTGAACATAAAATTTAAGGTTTTCGATGAGCACACTATAGATCTTTCAAGAAAGAAATACAGAAAACAAATTCAGAGATAAATTTTATCATTACAAAGAAAATCAACTGAATATAGAGGTTGAGGGACATAACTTGGATAAAATAAATGGAGTTCATCCCAACCATATATAAAGGTTGAGGGGATAACTTGGATAAAAATAAATGGGGTTGAGCCACCCCAGTCATCTCCAACTATCAGATCCACACCAAGAATAGATGAGACCCTAGAGGAGTTATACCATTTAAGAACTAAACAAACATTATAATTTGACTACATCAAGAGAAGGGAATTTATTCTGGTAGAGATACAGCTCACAACTTCCCATAGCTCTCTTTCCCTGCCTCTGAAATGTCAATTGTGAGATGATCAGGGGTTTGGGGAGTTTAGAGGTGGAATAGCCCTTGTTGTGTAGTTGATTTGCTCTGAATTGTAAGCTCTTTACTTCCAATCATTAATAAAATCTTCATTATCAATAAAAAATTCGAAATCAGATAACCAAAAAGTTCAAGGAAAGGCCTACTGACACCAATTAGTTAGTTGAGAGATAAAGCTTCAAATACACTTATTAAATTTAGATCTGAACAGTATTACAAATCTATGCTGCCAGAAAGGTATGATACCCAGTGCTTTAAAAGCACAAGGGGCTTTTGTGCCTGAGGCCCAAGCACAAGGGAAGTCACATGCCTTTTTGAAGCAAAGTACAAAAACGCAAGAAAGAAAACTGTTAAAAAATAAAAATTGCAAAAAAAGTAAAAAATGTTAAACAGAATATTAATTAAAAATATACTTAAATTTTAAAATATATGTTTAAAATAACTTATTATCTCAAATCAAAATATATAAACATAACATGTAAAACATATTTAAAATGAAAATTTTAAAAATAAAATCAAGCATACAATATAAAACATATTCGAGCATGTAAAGCTCTCAATCTCTTTATTTTTTTCCCAATTCCATTATTTCAAATACTTAATGTGATATTAAACATTATTTATTCCCAGTTCTACGAGCCGGCTTTGTACCAAGTCCCTTGAGGCAAGCCCAAACAAGTTCATATTCTTAAGACTCTGGGGTAAAGCACAAGGCACATACCTTATGAAAGTGTTGTGTCTGGGACCTAGGCATGGCGCATACCCTAAAATGTGCCTCACCTGTGTGCCTAGATGCACCTCAGGTGCATGTTTTAAATCACTGATGATACCATATGAGCTTTGATCGATCAAAACCCTCCGTGAATTTTAATCAATACCACCTGATTGGTTAATTTATGATATCGGTTGATTGTTACAAGTTTTTCTGGTATCATAGTTGAACCCATTAACTACATATTTATATTTTTTAATCAGCTAAATTTTTATTTTGGGTTATCTATGTAAGCATAACAATGGAACAGAGAATGTCATTACTAGATTACAAGTCTTGTCAAGTTTCTAAGATTTTGGGTGATTATGGAATCCTAGAAATATTGAAGGTAGGTCCAATATCTCTTGCAATTTACAGCAAAAGAGCCAAAAAGATCAGGTCATAGCTTTCAGTCTTAGAAGGAAGGAGGCAATCTCTGCACATTGCAGAATCTTTCTCAAACACAAGCCTTAAATTTTTTTTCCATTTTCTTTCCTTTTTTCTTAAAGCCTTAAACAAGCCTTAGACTTGTTCTTATTGTATTTAAACAACTCTATTACCAAAATTCTCATCTATTTCAAGTTTTCAACTTATCACAGGGATAGAACTAACATACGAAAGAAATAGAGATAACGCTTATATGAATATCAATTTCATACACAAATTAGTAGGTGGAAATAACTTCAAAAGAACAAACATTTACCTTGTACAAGAAATCAAGCAACTGATTTGACGGTTCTTGAGACATGACATAGTGACCATAATTCACTAATATACTATAAATCCATGGAAGAACATACTTTCCAATGCCAGACCTGCTGAAGATGTTTACAGTTTAACCATAATGTCCAGAGATTGATGTTCAACATAATTTATAAGATGTGATATGACTCACTGGGATCCACCATGTAAAAAAGAATGACAGAAAAGTAACTATTTGATCAACTTCCAAGTATTAATAATAAAAGGGATGTTTGATAACAGCTGAATATGCTGAACTGAAAAGCTTATTGCTTTGTTTTTTAGTGAATAAATTTTCAAGGAGGTTGTGAGCACCTTAAATGGTGAAACTGAACTTCGGTAGATCACTATACCCTTGAAAATTTTATTACTTATTATTTTAATAACTAAAATGCAAAGTCTCAGTTCAGCAACTTCTGCTGTTGTCAAACAGCCCCTAAGAACTTCTTGTCCTTGCCTGAAACAAAAAAAAAACTCTACATTCATAACTTGTTGACAAATATAAATAATTTGTATGATCGGTTTATAAAGTTCAGTATGTTGGAAATCCTATATGTTCCAAGAAAAAGAAATTAATAAACCTTGATTTCCACATGGCCACCAGGCTTGTCAGCAACTTGTGTGCATCAGGAGGTGTCATGGACAAAACAGTTGCCTTAATCTGGTGAAGAAGAAGATATAATCAGCAATGGATACTGAATCAAACCAATTGAACTTGGTCATTGGAAATTAAAATATAGTTATCAAGAAATGCAAAAAGAAATCATGACTTCCAAACTATTCATTGTCCTATTCATTTTAATACATAAACCTTCTTTTGTGGGATATTGGCTTCCAAGTAAGCATCACTGAACATAGTAAAATTTAGACTTGAATTAATCTGCGGAAAACTTTCTCTAGTAACATCAGCTTCATTTGTAAGAATTCCTAATGACCTAAGGCGGTCCTCAATACATATTGTAACAGTATCTGCTGCAACTTTTTCCTTCTCAACTGCATAAACCAAAACAATAAGCAGATAAATCAACAAAAACGAATAAATAATGCATCAAAAAATACATAATGTTATACCAATGGAAAATAAATTCCATGCAATCCTAGAGAAAATACGGTGAAATTGCCATAAGTACAACTTATCAAAAAAATGTCACAAGTAAATTCTTAACTACTAGTTGCAAAGACAAAAAAGCTAAAATGAAAGATTTCAGCAATACCCATCAATCAAGATTTGTAATGATGAAAATAACATGTGCCTTCTGTTCTAGTTATGGTAAGCTTACCATTGTTATCCACAGGGTTAACTTCTTTCTTATTACTGTCTAAATCAACAGCGGTTTCAGCATCTATGCTAGAGCGTCGGTGCTTTCTCTTTTTATCATGAAAGTCATAAATCCTTGGAATTGGAATTAATGCATCTTCTGCATTCGAGCGGTCTAAAGCAGTGACTGCAAAAACAAGACAAGTAATTAGTGATTCATAAAGATCTTGAGATAGAAGCTTACATATTCAAATTTACAAAATTTGCATCCAAGGGTATTCAAGTATGAGACCAAAACCAAAACCACAGTATCATCCCTACTAGAGAGAGAGAGAGAGAGAGAGAGAAAGAGAGAGAGAGAGTCATTGGGTCGGTCCAAGTCAAGGTGGACATAGGGGTGCAACTTGAACAGGCCCAACCTGAGCTTTTGCATGGATTGGCCTGAGTTTTGGGGCTGCAGGTTGGGCCTGGGTCAGAAAACTCAGGCCTGACCTTAACTTGTGTTGGGCTTGGGTTGAGGTCTCAGGTATAGCCTGAGCCCAATCCAACCCAGGCCCAACCCAACCCAAGCCCATCTGAACAAATACATACATATGTATTATGTTTATATTAAACATCTTTTGTTTCTAATCATATGTACATCTATATATGTATAAAATATGTATATGTGCATTTGTAAATGAAATTTTTACATGTTTTCAATCAAATATACTCTTAATTTTATTTATTTTTTTTTTGATGTGGAGGACCATCCCTGCTGCTGTCTTGTGGTCCATTTGGGCAGAAAGGAATAGTAAAATTTTCTGTAATAGAGCTAAAAGTCCTGATGATGTAATTCAGAGAGCAGTGGGCAAGTTGATTTCTTGGGTTTCTATTTCTGAGGCTGTTTTCATACTGCCTTCCTGGGTCTGATTTCAGTTTGTATTTGAGTTTGGTTTGAATAAAATTACATTACCTTTTCCAAAAAAAATCTACTCTTAAATTGGGCCATAAATCCCAATAAAAGGTGGCTACATAGTTGTCAAGGCGACGCCTAGGCGACTAGGCGCTTTTCAAAGAATGCCTCGCCCAAATGCCAACTATGTTAGGCGCATGCTTAGTGGGCTGAAGCAAATATATACTATATAAATATCTATTAAATAAAAAATATAAAATATATACTATTTTATTGGTTGTTTTAGTTTTTATAATAGAACCTATTGCATGTTATCATACTTTTGTTTTGAGGAAAGTAAAAGGGTTTCACATTGACAATAGAATTGAAGTATCGAACTAAGGAAGATGAGAGAACAACAGCTTCCATCGTTCCCACACAGTCCTCTAAAGTTAAGGTTCGTTTTGTTCTCTGTTTCCTGCTTTAAAACAGTGGTTACGCCCCATTTTCTCCTCTTCCTTTTTGAATCTTTTCCCCAAGTTTTTTTAATCATTTTATTGGACTAAAACAGGAGCTCCGCCTCCTTTTGTTCTTAAATTTCCTGCATGTTTTCAGCTTTTTTTTTCTCATTATTGGTGTCTGAAACAGGGGCTCCGCCCCTCCTTTTATTCTTCATATTCTTCTTTTATTTTAGTATTTTTTTCACCAGCTTTTCTGGGTCTAGAGCAGGGGCTGCGCCCCCTTCTTTTGTTCTTAATTTCTTCAATTTTTTTAGCTTTTTTGTTCTCATCATTGATTTCTGAAACAGGAGCTCCGTCCCTTCTTTTCTTCTTCATATTTCTTCTTTAGTTTTAATATTTTTTCACGAGATATTCTGGGTCTAGAACAGGGACTCCACCCCCTACTTTTCTTTTTTCATTTTCTTCTTTTATTTTAGTATTTTTTCCCTATGTATTGTTGATCTAAAATAGGGGCTCTGCCCCCTTCAGTTCTTTCAAGTTCTAACTTTTAACTTGTAAGTTGCAAATCTAATATATTGTTTTGCCTACTTGAAGCAACACTGCAAGAAATACAAGCACAAAAGTAAGTGCAGAATACATAAAACCAATAAAAACTAGTTCAAAGGGGGTAGTAATCCATCGGCAAGCTTTAGTTTTAAATTCCATCGCCTAGGCGAGGGCTAGGTGCCCACCTAGGCGCCCTAGGTTCCTGGGCGCCCCATGGTCGCCTAGCCTTGCCTTGGCGCCTTGAAAACGATGGATGGCTATGTAAATCCATAACCAGATCTTAAAATATTACAACCCCTATGCTGTCCTACATCAGTTAGGATCTGTCATTTCTGCCCAACCCATTAACAGAGTAATACACAGTTCATAGTCAAGCAGGTTCTGGACCCACATTATTCAATAGTTCCAAAATAAAGGACATCCTGGCTGAAAAGCCATCCCAGAATAACATTCAGATTTTTGCAACATCTGATTTATGGCATTATTTAGGAAGGTTAGATATAATTTGGGAAATAGTCCACAAGACTATAGAACTTAGATGGTTAATAGTTGATATCATCATCCAACTAGGATTATTTAACTAGGACTTCTTATGAGCTGCTATACAGGATTGCAAGAGGGGTGGACTGGATCCGAACTTAGCTTTTGGCATTTTTTACACAAAGTGAGTCTATGACATAAACCTGTACTCTCATGTTTATCAACCCAAAGTTTTACCATTGCACCAAAAAATGACCCTTAACAAGGATTTCTTATGCCTGGGACCCAAAAAAAGGGGGTGAAGAAATCCTGGGACCCAAAAAAATGGATGAATTCTCAAGACAGTATTAGATGAATATTTTGCAACTACTCCTAATCAGATTGCACAAAGCATTGCCGTTCAAGTGTTTACTTTCAAATTTTTCAGAAGAAACACATTCAAAAATGGCCATAAATAGCTGTGAGGACTTACCTCCAATTTGTAAATCCTGCCTTTTCTTAGATTTGTTGGACTGACCCATTGGCAGAAGAACCACATCTTGATAACTACTCAACTTTATGTCTACACCATGCCGCACTAAGATTTTCTCAAATGATGGCTTTACTAGTGAACCACAGGCAACCAATATCTGTGCAGAGGCAGGTTTCACAGGGCATTGTAATTTGGCAGCAAATATTGCATGTAAAGAATCATTCTTTGTAATCTGAGCCTCACTTGATAATGAGATTATCGTGGGTTTGGTATTGCCTAATTCCTCAATATTTTTCTCATACCAAAAATGGCACAGACCAGTTTCCGTAACAGCCAGAATATAGAGACCAACATCGTCTGTACTTTCATTTTCCCTGCACTTGCAATCAAGAAAAACAGCAGGATGGTCCATTGCAAGTACACAGCTGGCAGACTTTTTTTTGCTTCCACCTAATCTCCATACTGCAAGATATCTCTCACCAACAGCAGAAGAGAGGATGTACTTCCCATCTTCACTGAAGATCATACAACGAACAGCCCCCTATTCAGCAGAAGATAACTTGCTTAAATTGACAAGGAACAGGTAGTGAAAGAAATTTTGAAGCAAGGAACAAAAGATTAAATAGCAACTGCTTTACACTCACAGGATGGCCAGAAAATTTGTGTATTTTATTATTATCTGAGCAATTGAAAATCTTCAACTGACCAGCTGCAGTTGCTAGCATTTTTCCATCTGGTAAGAGTGAATAACCATCATGAGTGGCACAAGCATCTATATACCAACCAAAAAGTGTCAAATAAACAAAGGGGTTGTTCACCAATATGCATGGCTTTGTTTTTCAAAACAGAAACACATGGAAGTTGTTTTTGTTTCAAAAAGCAAAGTCATGCATATTGGCAAACAGCCCCAAAACATACTCTTATAAACTAAAAGAGTGTCTGATAGAAGCATTAACAAAGCAAAGCAACATGTATTGGATTTGGTCAAAGAACATGTAGTGGGTTTAGTAATTGATGAAAAAGCAGATTGCTTTAATAGGTGTTAGAGGTGTCCAATTAGACAAAATATCTGGCATAATTTGATCCAATCTCAATTTCATCTTTCTATACCAAGTGCTCTGGGTATACTAACACACCAAACTCAATGCACTATTTGACCAAATAACTGATGGAGCACCCCATCTTCCCAGGTTTTATACCATTTTTAGACTGTGATTTTAAATTGGGACAGCTCTGGAAACATTGATACCTGATCTGCGAAAATTGTTGTTAGCATTAGAATGAAATCACTCAAAACAGAAAAGTTTCCTACTCCCACATCCTCTAAGTTCCATACTAGACAGCAACAGATGCATATAAAGCAACCCAAAAAAAACATTTTATCCTGTACAACATTCACTTCCTTAATCAATAAAACATTGTTATATTGAACTCATCAAAAATATATACCTGGCGAGATGGCAATTGAGGAAATTGTCTTCGTAGAAGCCTTAAACTTCCTTAATAGGTTTCCTGTCATGCAATCAATTTGGCAAACCATACCATCAACTCCTGCAGTATATATACATAAAGCATGGGTGGAGAATGAAATGGCATTGACACCCCTGCTCATTATCAAGAAAAAGTGGTCACTGGTTAGAGAATGTATTTGGCTTTGTGATTATTCAAGCCACTTTACATTAGCATATAACAATTTAAGAAAGTAATGCACTTTAGGACTTAAATTGCAAGATAGAAGATTGCAAAAAAAAAGCAAAAACAAAAGGCTTAAAACACAAATAAGTTCACCCTATTCATACTACCATGGATTTTCTTGTCTACTTAACAAAACTGTTAAGTAGAATTTGATGGTCTAATATGACATAAGGTACCCATGCATTGCAAAACGGAAACAATGGTATAATACTATAATAGCATGGTAACTTACTAGCTAACTCAAACATGGTCTAATACGATATACATGATTATGAAAAATCTGAATCTCAAAAGCATATAAAATTATTATGAAGTATGAATTTATCAATTATGAAGCACTTGTCCAGAAAAACAAGAAAGTGGATCTATCTAATTTGGTGCATTTCTGTGGACTCAAGCAAAGGCTCATTTTATGGGATGTGCCTCACCTAAACCCAGGTGCAACTTATTGATATATTTTGATGAATTCACCTTGAATTTAAGGTTGAATAGGTATTTTATTGTATTGAAGGCTGAGCATATGATGTTCAGAGTTTAAACCAAGGCAACAAACTTCATGTTAATAACTCGATGCTCTAATTGAATGAGCTAATAGGCTTTTTTTCAAACAGTTTATTTTCTTTTTGATAGGAAATAGTTTATTCCTTTCAGAATATAGATTTTCATATTCTTGTATGTTAAGTTTTTGTTTTAATTTTTTTTCCAAAAGTAGCACCTTATTCATTCAAAAGTTTGTACCTTGCACATTGGACTCTAGGAAAAACCCTTGCACTTTAGTTGCACTTCTCACTTTTAAAAGACTGACCATGCTACATCCAGAACTCAAATTTCAAGAAAGAATAAACTCTAGGGTCTAGGCAAAAGAACCTGACAGATAAGGCTAGTACCATGTCCAAGGTGATGGCAAGTAAAGTTAGTTAACCAGATAAATGATTGAATTGAGTTAAAACATTGATGGAAAGTTAGGAAATTTTGCCTTACAAATGTGCATGCCAAGGAACAACAAACTCTTAACAAGACACTTACCCAGAATGGCAGTCACTAACTCTCCACTTCAATTGACCAGCAGATACATTCAATGCTAAAACATCACCACCACCTGTCCCCAAAACTAGCAATGAATGCGCAACTTCCTTTTTTCTCTGGCAATCATCAAGGAATAAGATCCCCAAAAGGTTAATCAAAATGACAAAGATATAGGTCAAACATTAAAAAGCATAAAAAAAAACATCAGACTTCTGAGTTGAGTCTATGCAGAAAGTGAACCTTTCTCTCTAATGATAACCATTTCATGCAGGTGTAGTCAATTGAAAGGTGCCCTTTTTCTGGCTTTGTGTACAGATCCCCAGCATCAGTTGATGTAATGTCAGCAAACTCGGTCTGGAGCTGCCCCTTCAAAGTATCCCAAATCTGCAAAAAAGGGAAAAATTCCCTATTAACACATTCCATCCATCCTTACAAAATGAAATGCATAAAAATTAAAGAAAAAGGTATATTGGTGTTCTTCATAAAAACACAGTATCTATATGATGACGACTTTAACTTAATACTAATAAAATAAGGACCAATTCACAAAATGCTTGCCTAGGCAGTGAACCCAAAATCGTTCATTCACAAAGTGTAGTTCTTTCTTATATTTCTAGTAGTTTTAGTTTTAAACAATTCCTAGACTAGGCAAATAGTACCTTAATCCGACCATCTCCAGAACTAATAGCAAAGAAATCAAATGAAGGACTAAACGATGTCAAGAGGTCTCTGATATTTTGTGATCCCATATTCCTGCATGTATCAGAATTAGATGAAAAGTTAAAAACAGACAAAATTCATAAGTTACACATCGAAACCCAATGAGTACACCATTATACGCAATGTTTGGTCTCTCAAAAGAACCCAAAAACAATCTAATATAAAAAGCCAAGATGGTTCCAGACCTCAAGGTGTAGAACCTACCCATCTGCAAATAATAGGTGTGGATATTGAAATATAACTAAATGCTTACACGAGAAAATTCCGATTGTTTAGGAGGAAGTCAACGAAGTACTAAAAACTAGCCAAATACTGGAGAACAAAAACAAGCAACTGTTGAGGTCCAACCTCCAAACAAAACAACCATAAACCCTGTTTTCGACACAATACCTGAAATTTTACTTTCTTTGTTGCAGAAATTTGGAACACTGCACTTAGGGACCAGGATAATCAAACGTAATAAACAGAAATTGTGAAGTTTAACAAGCCGAAAATGGCCAGAGTCATCTCTGAGGCTTAAAAGAATCCGGCACGAAAGCCACGAAACCTCCCATTTCAAAATTCCTACAAGTAAAACCCTAAACCCTTTGGTCCTAGAGAATGGATAGCATAGCAATAGTCCTCTCGGGCCGGGTATGGATCAACTCGGGCCAGGTTGGATCTAGTTGAGGTCACAAATCAAGCCAAACCCAAGGGAAAGGTACCTCTACGGATCAACCCTAACTCATCTATGTCGGAAAAATAGCTCATTTAGCATAGCAATAGTCCTCTCGGGCCGGGTATGGATCAACTCGGGCCAGGTTGGATCTAGTTGAGGTCACAAATCAAGCCAAACCCAAGGGAAAGGTACCTCTACGGATCAACCCTAACTCATCTATGTTGGAAAAATAGCTCATTTGGGCTGGAAATGGAGTGGCCACCCATTAGATTAAGAAATGGAGGTGATGAGACCTTCAAGAATAATATCAAAATTATTTTGGTTCAATAATGACTCTAATAATCCGAGACATCAACTAATTAAAATTCGGATGGGAAAGAGAAGGTATTAGGCACCCCTCTCCCGGGTCCAATAAATGGAACTCACATGGTGATCTCAAACAAGCATAATGGCAAATACACAATTAATCAAGCAACACAATAATAAAAAATGCAAACCCCAAGAGCATGCCAACACAAAAATGTAAATTCTACCCATTTTATTTTTATTATTTTCATTTATTTATTATTATTTTTTATTAAAAAATTATGAGTTTTTAATCTTTTTATTTGTTCCTTTTTTATTATTATATCTTCATTTCTTCTCTTTTTTATTTTATCAATTATACATACTTTTTTTGTTATTTCTTGCGGGACCCTATTTCCATCTATATTTATTCCTTTATTATCCATTGGATTCTACCATTTATTTATCATATTCTATGCTGAAATTCTACTACTACATATTTTTACTACTTTTCTCCTCTTCTCTTTTTTTTTTGTCATTATTCCAATTTTTTTCCTGCCCTTATTACCCCTATCCTACTTTACACTCTGCCAACATCCTATCTATTAAACCAACCTCCCGACCTTGTCACCTGAAGAGATTAGCTCAGTTCTTCTGCAGTTTCCCAACATTTACTCTTTTTCCCTCTATTATTTTCTTTTATGTATTTTTTTATTAATTTTATTCATGTGATAAACACTTGTGGCACAAAATCTCACACCTGCAACTAAGGTTCAAAATATAGATACGCGGTAAAGGCATATCATGTGATGAACACTTGACAAGGAATATGTCTACTACTGTAAAGTGGGTGAGGAGATCAACTAATGCTTTTGCTGATAGCTTGGCAAAATAGGGCACAACTGTAATTATGTATTTGTAATCATGCACCTTTGGTTTTAGTTTTTGTGTTTTAATTATTTGTGTGGTAATATATTTGGCGAGGCGGCATCTCGTGCCTTCCCAAGGGACTGATTATTGTGAGCATCAAGAAAACGGCTCACTTGGGCTGGAATCGGAGCCACAACCCATCAATTTAAGAAATGGAAGTGATGGGACCTCCGGAAATAATTTTCAAAATCATTTTTCATTTTAGTAGTGACTCCAAAGCCCGTGGCATTGGCTAACTAATCTGAATAAGAGTCAAATGGGAGAGGGAAAGGGTTAGGCACCCCTCTCCGGGGTCCAATAGGTGGGGCCCACATGGTAACAATTGTTGGACAGTTTTGAATGCCCTTAGCTTCAATCAGAATGATGTACTTTATGAGTTTATTGTAAATGAATAAAAATGCATATTTTATTCATGTTCCCTTGGTATGTTTCTGTGTAATACCCTTAAACTAGACACTTAATGAGAATCGTGTTAGTTTAGAATGTTCACAGCCAGTGGGTCGGTCTGGGGAGACCTATCCTGATAAGGCTGACACTGTTGTGCCACCAAGTCGGTTGGGGTGGCCTGTCTCAGTTGCCAGGGTGAGAC